TGTGGCAGCAAACAGGCAATGCCCGTTACGCTGCATGTCAAAACTGCAGCTATGGACGTGCCGATCTTGCAAGGCAGCTCTTGTAGCCGTGCCAAAAGCGGAGGCCTTTCCACTAGAAGCTGTACTTTGTGCTGTCCGCTGGAGCCTTTACTTCCGAATACTTTTGCCGAAGCGCTATTTGTAAGCCACAAGCTTCAACTGTGATAAGGTTCAGAACTTGGTGGCTTCAGCACGAGTATGCCCAACCCGCTTCTGGAGAAGGCATGCTGTCTTTATGAAACGATATTATCCCAATCAGTTTCAATATCTCATGTGCATAACCCTTGTTGTTCGCAACATTCACGTCCTGTGTAACTCATGGCATGATTGGCTTTAGTAGCTACTCGGTCGGCTGCTGTCAAGTGCAGCCAGAGCTGTTGGCTAGCCTGACAACCCTCCTGCCATCTCCTGCCCCTGCGTTCTTCTGCTTCACACTGTGACTGACCAAAGTGTCTTGTCAACGCTAAACCCGAGACCCCTCCCCTGGCCGACATGCCCGTCCAAACCATCAGATTTTTCCCCTGAAGAACGGAAGGAAAAGAGAGAGAGAGAGAGAGAGAGATCTCTACGCACAGTCGTAGTCCACGTCATTTTCTGCTCTGAGAAGACAGGGGAACCATCCGTCTACAACACTTGTCCCCTTAATTGTTTTGTTGTGCTCCGCAGAAGTGCGATCAATGGCTCTTTTCAGATGACGGGGGAACGATACTATCTTTTAAAGAGCTTGTAGCTGTCGTAGCTGTTGCCGCCCCCTTGAAGCCCTCTATAGACAGGGGCGCGTGCGTCTCTCGGCGCGGGGGGTCGAACTCGCCCCCCTCTGGACGACCGTGCAGCGAAGTGAAGTGAAGAGATCTCTACATGGCAGGCCAAGAGGCCAGGGGACCTCGACAGTGCTCTAAGCCCTGTGGAAGAAGAGGTCTGGTAGAGAGAGAGAGAGAGAGAGAGAGAGAGATGTGGCGGCAGCAACAGCAGCGGGCACAGGCGGACCCAGGCGAGGAGAGCGAGCAGTCCTGGCCCAGCACAGGGGACGGCCACACTGATCAAGTCGAGCTAATGCAAAGAAGCACACAGAACTACAGGGCACACAGCCCAGCAGAAGCCCGCCGAGCCATGGCAGAAGCACGGCGATGCATGCTGCGAGTACTTGATGTCGTGGCACCAGGCGAAGCTCAAGCCTATGCACAACAGGCACTGGTCGCCCTCCAACCGGAAGCAGCCTCCCAACCAGCAAGCTCCAGCAGCCTGCACCACACCGGGTGCACAGACCCCCCACCGCCCAATGCACACAACACGGCAGCACACCTACTGCACCTGATCGTAGACCTGGCCAAAGCGGTCGAAGCAACCGGGGCACACAACAGCGTGGAGGACCTCAGCAGCGACCGCAACGAAGTCACCAGGCTACTTAAGGAGGGCACGCGGCAGATGCATACCCGCACCAGGGCCCGCAACTGGGGAGCAGTACACCGTGGAGAAGACGACCGGACCAAGCCGAGGCGGCCATGGAGGAGTGCTTACAGAACCTCCAGGGCCAACCAAACCTCCCGGAGAACCTCCTGGAGAACCTCGCCAATGTGGCCCTACTCTGCGAAGCCGCCTCGAATGCACACGGGGAGGCGTGGGCACCCACCGCGAAGACGAGGAGAACCTAAGGAGAGCGGCCGAATACTGCTCTCCGAAGACAAAGAGAAGGCGACACCAAGCGGACGTTATCGCCCACGAAGGGGGACCCGATTCACAACCGAGTACCCACCACGTGGCCGACCAGCAACCAGAGCGACCACTAAAAGCCCTGGGGAAACTGCGCCGTTTGGCGCCTTTCCTCCATGGACAAATGCACGAGTGGGCACAACAAGCCATTGGGGAACTCACCCAGTGGTCGAAGCAGTTCTGGGGCACACCCGTCGTCTTGGTGGACGAGGGAACAGACGAGGAGGACCTCGCAGAGACACACAGCCAAGGAGGAGGGCAACCAGCCGCAGAGCCACAGGCCCAGCCTGCACAACCTGTACTACCAGCACTACCTGAACCACCCCTGCAACCTGGGCCACTGGCACACCTCGCCTCTGTCCCACCTGCTCTACCTGCTCTACCCGCGGAAGCTCCTCCCGTACTACCTCCTCAAGGACCTCACGACCGTGTACACAAACCTCGCGAACTACCTCAACCAGCTGAAAGGCGGCTACTACTGGGCGAACAAACAACAGGCAGTGCGAAGTCGCCACCAGGACAACGAACCGGAGGACCACCGGGACTACCTGGACCACCTGAACTACCTCTACCTGGACCTGCTGAACCAGAAGTACCACCAGCACTACACCCTCAAGGACCTCACGGCCGAGTACACGAACCACGAGAACTACCTGGACCACCTGAGCTACCTCTACCAGGACCTGCTGACCCAGAAGTACCACCAGCGCTACACCCTCAAGGACCTCACGGCCGAGTACACGAACCCCGAGAACTACCTCGACCCGCCGAACTACGACTCCCACCAGGTGAACAGGCAACAAGCAGCTCGAGAACCACGCAAAGACGGCGAGCCCGGGGACCACAACTACTACCGGGACAACCTGGACCACCTGAACTTCCTCAGCTACCTGGACCAGCCGAACCTGCACAAGAACCACTGACGGGGCCCGCAGCAGAACGACGAGAACCACCTGAGCTACCTGGACCACCTGAACCGCCGGGGCACCCAGAACTACCTGTACCAGCTGGACTACCTGTACCACTTCAGCTACCAGAGCAACCGGACCGACCAGCCGTACCTCTACCCGCCGCACCGCCTGCCCTACCTGCACAACACGGGCTACCGTGGCCCCTCGAGCTCATGCAAAGGCCCTCGCAAAGACTGCTACACCTGCTACAGGAACGACAACCCGCAAAACCAAGAACGAGACCCGCGTGGACCGCGAACACCACACCACAAGGGGCACAAGGACTACGGGGGCTACCCGCTCAGCCTGCTCTGCCGAAGCCGGAGACGACCCCTTGAGAGGAGAACCAGCACCGGAACCTACGCCGACGGAACCAGAAGCCTCCTGGAACGACGACAGTGACACAGTGCCGTGGCACGCGGCGACACCACAAGCAAGTCACCAACAACCTGCAGAAGACCAACTGAGAGAGGAAAGGGGCACCAGCCCAGTGAGCCAAGGAAGCCAACAGAGCCACCGTAGACGTAGACTACTGAGCGCGTTAGCTGACGACTAGAGGTTCGGAGCACCCCCAGTGATGTAGGCCTGTGTTCTTGTTTCTTGCAGTTGTTGGGTGCCCTCGAACACCTGTCGTTCTAGCTGACCAACCGCTCCTGGGGTACCCTAGTGAGAGCGAAGCGAGGCACAGCCTTTCTGACCTCCGCAGCGCACCTTGCAAACTTCGGGGGACCAGCAGTAACCTCTGTCAGCTTGTTTTCAGCTTGTTCGCTTGCGGCCCGGGCCTCAGAGTGTTTGCTTCTTTCTGCCAGCTGATCCCCAGGGGAACCAGCCCAACAGGGGCACACACTTCTAGTACAGCCGAGCCCATCCATTGAAAATAATGGATGGGGCAGCGCACTCGCGCGGGTCGGGAGGCCTGCTCCCGCCCCATGCCCTAAGCAA